TAGGAATACACAGAATTAGATAGTACAGAATTCAAGAGAAAGCAATTAAGGGTAAAACCAGATATTAGTATGGGAGTGCATGCAGGTATGGTTGAAGTTGGATTTCCAGGTAAAAGTGATTGAAAGAACAATAGAGTTTAGATTGAAAGGAAACCAAAGTATTTACAAGATAAGAAGTTGAAAAGAATTGAAATAATATTTGAAGTGAAATAATATTCGAAATGAAATATTATTTGAAATGAAATATTAATTGAAATGGAAAAATTAGAAAAAAATATTTACACGCAAAAATAAAACAAAAAGAGTTATTTCGCCACAAAGACAAATAAACCTGTAAGTACGACTTTAATGTAACCTGTGTATCTATTCGTACATATTACTACATACATAAATAAAATTACTTCTTCGTTTAATGTGTTTCATTAATTACCAATAAAACTGTAAATGAAATAATGAAATAAAAAAGTATGCTATTCAGAGCAGACAATGATAAAATTTGAACTCTTCTAACACTAACGTAATCATTCTCAATAAATCCATGCAGGTTCAGTCCAGTTTTGTGACGTATCCTCTTATCTACACAAAAATTCAAAAGACCAAAGTTCAATTACGTCACAAAGTATTCAAAAGGTCAAAGTTCAACAACGTTGAGTAAACATTATTATAGCGTGCTGCCACCCAATTTAAGTGTCATAAATCAACCGTATTCTAAAAAGGGGTGGTGGTGGTAGCTGTAGAATGGCCTTGAATGACATCGAGGAGATGAAGGGGGTGTGTGTCGTCTACTTCTTCAGAATTGACCTTCAAACGCGCGCAAAATTCAAATTCGAACAGGCGCCGCCCACTAGGAGGACAATCCAGAGACTCTTAAGAAATTCTTCAGCTTAAGAATGACCTCCAAGGTGTCTTAGAGGTCAAACAAACACATTTTTGCAACACTCGGTACGACGTTTCGGTCATCCGCACGAAGAGTGACCTCCAAGATGCCATTAGAGGTCATGGTAAAGGACTAAGGATGGACAAGACCATCGAACTGTCACAGTATCCCTATAGCTATACTACTCCCCACAATTACCAATTTTAATGACTCACTCCAATTATTAAATAGAAATACGAAATTACTTAACGAAAATATTTTAAATTTCGATAACTTCATGTCACAGACTGTGTCTAATGAACAAAAATTGTCTCTTCAGACCAAAATTACCCAACATATTTTAATATTAGTAGAATTAACAGACGAGCTACAAGCTTGAATAATTACATAGATGGGATAATCAGTTAGGGAATTATTAGCTATAACATTTTTAATCCTAAAGATTTATTCTCGAAGCTTAAGGTTATTAACACGTTGACTGCTAAGCAAAATATGAATATGTTACCTGTATGTATCTGGGTCATATTTAACTTCTCATGTCGCTAAAATATGAATTTTCATTCATTTTTCATAGATGGTTGATGTTTTACATGCTGGTCCCATCGAATCCACGTGAGCCCAGTGAAAAAAATTTTGTTATTATTGAGCTGTCAGCGCCGCTGGTTCCTTAGACTACGTAACCTCGCTTGTGTGTTGTTATATTACATAGCGGCTTTGAACAACGCTTATGGAAACGTAAGTAACACCTTAAATGGCTTGCTTTATGATTAGAATGTGCTATTCTTAGATGTCTAGAAAAAGTGATACTCTCATAAATAAACCGTTAGAGAAAACAGCTAAACAGTTTGAAGAAACAGATTCAGATGACTCATGGATAGATCCGTATGAATATTCTGCTAGCGATTCATACCATCCGTCCTAAGCTTGTTCTTCTAATACCGACGATGCTTTTGAGACCCATAGTGAGAAAAAGAATTGTAATAAATGTCTCCAAAATAAGATTTTACCCCGAGACAATTTAAAAAATTAGAAAGTAAGTGCTGATAGTGAGGAAATAAGTGTTGATAATGCGGAAGCCATTGGTAATGGAAGCGGGCATAAATTAGCAGATAATTCCTTCGACAATGTAACAGAAGGGATCGAGTCAGGTTCTTCTGACGAACCGCCTGCACCGGTTCGTGGTGATGGCAATGATTGCGGACCAATTGCAAGGAACTATAAACCGTTTCAACCTTTTACTCTTGCTCCAGGAATAAATCCTGAAGTAGCAGCTGTGCTTGCAACTGAAACACCAGGCAGCTTTTATGAAACTATTGTCGATTATAGTATTATTTCGCTTATTGTAGGTCAAATAAATCACTAAGCCACTTGTTTGTAACTAGTAAATGAAACAATCTTTAAAGATACCTCCTCTTTCTTCTTGTGACCACTGCAAGATTTCTCGCAACTATGGAAAGAAGGAACGGCGGTGGTCACCCCAAATAATTGGACCAAAAGAAACCTCAACGGGAATTCTGGAAGAGAATGCTGATAACGTTGATGCTACTGTTGTGACTACAAATTCCAGTTTAGAGATTGTGTGACGCCTAAACCAGAGTTACCTAAACTATCAGAAATGCCTGCTAACGTCGAAACAAACTCGGCTCAAATTAATATATCTTTAGAATTAGCTGAAAAGATGCTCATAAAATTTGATGGTTCAAAGTCTAAATTGCATGAGCTCATCGATAATTATGACAAAGCTGTATCTTTAGTTAAACCTGAATATAAAAATAATGCAATAATAGATACAAAAATAACAGATAACGCTAGGGCATTAATTAAGAATAAAACTGTTAATGATAGGATAGCTTTAAAAAATCACCTTCTAAACACTTATTCAGAGAAAAGAACTATTAGTCAGTAGCAGTTGCACCTTAACAGTTGCAAACATAATACATATGAAAACGTTATGTCTTATGCTAGTAAAGTTGCGATTTGCTATATTAAGTTAATATATTCGCTATGTCAAAAATTTTTTAGGGGACGCAATAGCGTTCACATTAAATGAAGAATAGGAACAAAAATTTAGATTAGAGATCCAGAAATATCAAAATGTTAATAATGATATNGGTTACAGAATAACCTTTCTATAATTGTTAAATCTCTAAAACCAGAATCATTAGAGGACGCAATAGCGTTCGCATTAAATGAAGAACAGGAACAAAAATCGAGATTAGAGATCCAAAAATACCAAAATGTTCATAATAATATAGCTAAGTTGTGTAGTTTCTGTAATAAAAGTGGACACTCTAGTTTTAATTGTCATTTTAATAAAAATAATAGTCATAGACAACATAACGTTAGGCATATTCAAAATTCTAATCCACAAAGGCCTAATAATTCATCTTTCCAAACCAATTCAAAATTTTCATCGAGTAAACCGATACAAAATAAAGTATGTTCATACTGTAAGAATATTGGACACTTGATAGGTGAATGTAGAAAAAGGGAGTATAACAACAGAATGCGGAATAATAATTCAAGTAAAACTCATTATCCTGGTCCTAGTAATTCACAAACTCATAACCGTAATTCTTTAAACTCTCAAGTGCCTCGTCAGTCGGCCGGGATGAGATTAGCACAGACATTTCAGGTCGAACAGAATACCCAGGGCTCTTCAAATCGTCTATAGCCAGCATTTCGTCAATTAATTTAGAATCTGTAGTCTCATTCGTAAACTTAAAAGCCAAACAATTAAAAAACTCTAATACAAGATTCTTAATCGATACTGGTGCTGATATTTCTCTTATAAAAATTTGTAATTTAAAAGGCGACACACCCTGTTTCACAAATAATCAAATTACTCTCAGGGGCATCGACAATGTCCAAAATCCTTATAAAACCTTGTGCTATTCGGAAATCGACATATATTTTGGTGATAAAAAACTAACACATGTATTCCATTCCGTCCCTGACTCTTTCCCAATAAACTGCGATGGTATCATAGGAAATGACTTCTTAAAAAAGTTTCATATGCGGCTTGATTATCAAAACGATTTCCTAATTCTTGAACAAAATCGACTGCCAATACAAGTTCAACGAACCATTATTTCTACTAATTCCAATCCCAATCATCTTTCTAATTCTAAACTAAGTTCAAAATCTAATTCTAATTCTAATTCAATTACTACTTCTGATTCACTTCTAAGCTCGAATTCCAATTCTAGTATTTATGAAATACAAGCTTGTAGTGAAGGATGTGTTAGGTTAATAAGAATGAACACGTCAGTACGCGAAGGTGTCATAAATTGTCAAGATATTCGGAAAGGAGTTTACTTAGGTAATAGTTTTGTAAAATTACAACCCAATAACATTGTTATTACAACGGTGTTAAACACAAACGAGTACCCGGTTAAATTAGAAAATATCAGTTAAAATCTTTAAAAATGCCAAACAGTAATAATAGTTGTCAAATAAATAAGATAGAGACAGGATCTGCTAATAAAAAATCGAGTAGGATAGAACAAATTAAGGAAACTATTCATACCTCGCATATGAATGGAGAAGAAAAACAAGCTATTACTGATTTGTGTTGCGAATTTTACGAAATCTAATTTCTTGGAGGGTGATCAATTAACGTTTACGGATGCTATACTGCATGAAAGATGCAAATCAATAAAATGTATGGATAGTTCCTAAAAAGGCAGACTATTCCGAGAAAAAGAAATGGCGTGTAGTCATCGATTACCGTAAACTAAATTCTATAACAATAGCTGATAGCTATCCATCACCAAATATTATAGAAATTCTAAACAAGTTAGGGCACTCCAAATACTTTTCTACCATCTATTTAGCGTCCGGGTTCCACCAAATACAGATGAACCCTAAAGATAAGGATGAAACAGCGTTTCCTACTTCTTCAGGTCTTTATTATTTTAACAGGAAGCCGTTTGGGCTAAAAAATCACCTGCTTCATTTCAACATCTAAAGAACATGGTACTATCTGGTTTGAACGAATTAAAAAGCTTTGTTTACCTAGACGATATTGTCGTTCATGCGGACACCTTGGAAAATCACAACAATAAATTGCGTAAATTATTCAAAAAACTTTCCAAATTTAATCTGAAATTGCAGGTTGACAAATGTGAATTTCTTCGACACGAGATCATGTATCTTGGTCATTTAATTACTGAAAATGGGGTTAAGTCTGACCCAAGAAAGGCAGTAGCTCTAAAAAACTACCCAGTACCAAAATTGCATTCTGAAATTAAGTCTTTTCTTGGAGTAGCCGGTTATTATAGACGGTTTATTAAAGATTTCAGCAAACTTTCCCAACCATTGACCAAATTACTAAGAAAGAATACACCTTTTCATTGGAGAAGTCAACAGCAGGAATCGTTTGAAATTCTAAAAAATACATTTTGTACGGAACCGCTTCTTCAATATCCCGATTTCACAAAACCTTTTGTTTTAACCACAGATGCTAGTAATTTTGCAATAGGGTTCGTATTATGACAGGGTGATACTCTTTAACGATCGTCCAATTGCGAACCCAAGTAGAACCTTCTGTTAAATTACAACGTAGATGTGTAGTGGGTGTTTAGGCTCAAACTAAAACGGAAACGCGGGAGCGAAGTCAATGCTAGATAACCAAGCAAACCAATGCGTATCCCGTACGTCGAAATGCGTTTTGAAGCAACTCATTTGGGATCAAAAGAGAATGATAATCTTGGTAAAATTTCAAAAGAATTTCTTACTTCCTCTTCTCCAGTTAGATTCACTGCTTTTTATGGGGATAATGAGCTCAGCAAAACCTTCAATTTAAATCTTTACAAATTTTTAAACGCCACAAATTCTGGAAAATATGTGCTTTCAACATTCAAAAGAGAAAACAATTTAACATCTAAAGCACGAAATTACTTACATCAAGTGTAACAAATGTAAAAGTAAATTATTTGGAATTACATTTTAGTGCCAGATTTTGATATTGTTAATAATTACTTTTATTTTGCTGATAGACCTGAGATTACTTGGCCATCAGTAACACCAAAATTACCTGCAATATATATAAACTTATTAACACTTATACATGCATCTTTACTACTACTACTACCACGATATTAAATCAATTTTGGATTAGGTATTTGTTGCATGCCTTTCTTTTCAGATACCAGGAAATATTCAAAACTCAATATTAAAAAAATTGAGGAACAACACTTTACAAATCACGTTCAACCATACATTATGGTTGTTGGTTCTACATTATCAAACATTTCTGAATTCTACCTAGTAATTGATACTTCTGTATACAAAGGAACCTCTGTTTTAGTGTTTAGATATTTGTTGTAAAGTCTTCCACGTTTTGTCAGCGAAATACCCTGCTGAATCAGAGCATATATATGGTTATTACTTCAACATCATATTTATAAAATAACTACTCAGTGGGATAAGTAGGTACCATATGTGTATACATTACTGAGTCACACAACAATAAAAATTAAATTGTTGAATTTATCATCAAAAATAATGATTTTATACCCATTTTGTTCATAAAGCACAGATTTTGTAAAACATTTTCCTGCAAAAAGGATAATTGTTTTCTGACTTTTCAAACTGTATATACTTCCTGCGAAAACATAAAAATGATTTTGAAACTCGTGTTGAATACTCGCAATCAGAAAACAAAGATAAGTGTAACAGTTCTCAGTACGAACAAGTTTCTTCTATATACGATGAACCTGTTAATTTCGAGCCTGAGCACAAAGAAGACATTACTTTCGAGTGTTTTTATAAATGTATTGCATCGTCTTCAGTTTCCTTTGTGTCAAAACTTTATAGTAGATACTCTGTTAACAGAAATGCAGTTCATAACATTATTCAAGACGTTACTTCGATGATTTGCGAACCTTTAAGTATGTTAGAAAATAAAGTAACCTCCAATGTTGACAATTTAGAAGTAAAAGAAGAAATTAAAAAAATGATCAGTTGTTTTCAGAACATGTTTAGTAATTTACGTACAGAATGGAAACGTTTTGATTTTTTTAAGCGCAGTAGTGCATTTATCCCAGTAGAAAGTTTGCTTATTGGAACAAGAGAAAACGATAAGAGAATAAAACAAAGAACCATATTAGATATAGTAGAGTCCCATATTCAGTATGTTCCTATAGAAAAAACGTTGCAAGCATTTCTTCAAATTCCGAATGTTTTTCGAACAATTTCATGTTTTATTTCTAATCTTTCTAATGTAGGTAGCATTTGTAATATAATGCAAAGTGCATTATGGGCCGACATGAAACATAATGAGGAAAATAAGTTAATTTTGCCTATATTCATTTATTTTGATGAATTTGAAATAAATAATCCATTAGGATCACATGCTGGTATTTACAAAATTGGAGCCACCTATTTTGTTTTGGGCTGTTTACCGCCGCAGTTTGCATCACAACTAGAAAATATATTCTTGCTTCAGTTGCATTACTCCGAGGATAGAAAAACTTTCGGAAATTCTGTTATCTTCGCTAAAATTATAGAGAGTTGTAGGCAATTAGAAGAACATGGAATTAATATTTCAACAGAAAGCGGTGATGTTCATGTATGGTTTTCGGTAGCATTTGTATTAGGAGATAATTTGGGTGTTAATGCAATAATGGGTTTAACTGAAAGTTTTTCTGCAACTAACTTCTGTAGATTTTGTTATGCAACTAAACATTTGACACAAACTCAGTTAAGAGAGGACGAATCATTGATACGGACCAGAGAAAAATATACGTCTGATGTTAAAACATTATCAAATGGCATTAAAGAAAATTGTATATGGAACAGTTTGTCTAATTTTCATATTACTTCTAACATGACCTGTGATGTTATGCACGACATCTATGAAGGTGTCTGTAGATATGATCTTGGACATATTTTGTACCATTTCATATATGTTGATAAGTATTTTGATCTAGGCACATTAAATCGCAGAATAAGATATTTTAACTGTAAAATTTCCGAAAACAAGCCTCCTGCTATTTTACAAAATCATTTGTTAAAAAAATACATAACTATTTCAACATCAGAAATGAAATGTTTAATAACAAACTTATCTATTATTATTGGTGATTTTATACCTCTTAATAATTCTGTGTGGGAAATTTATCTTCTTTTATATCAAATAATAGAAATAGTCGACAGTAAGAACGTTATCACTAGCCATGCAAATCTTTTGGCTTGCCTTATTGAAGATCATCATACATTATATAAACAGCATTTTGGAAATCTAAAACCGAAACATCATTTTTTGGTTCATTACCCTAGATTGCTAAGAACCGTAGGTCCGCTAGGCAACCTATCCTCTGTAAGATTTGAAGGCAGACATAAACAATTTAAAGCAGTTGCTAATACGGTTTCTTCGAGAATTAATATTGCATATACATTGGCAGTAAAAAATCAATTAGTTTTTTGTCATCGAATACTTGCTGGAAAAGGACTGGTAAACAATTATTCATTTGGTCCAGAAGAGCCACACTTTTCTAAATACTCCTCTGAATATCTTGCATTCTTATCAGAAGTTGGTGAAGCTGTTGCAGGAAAATGTTTTGCAACATCATGGGTTAAATTGTCAAATATTACTTATCGTAGTGGTTCTGTTTTATTGTTAGGTAACTTAGATTTCATGCCATTATTTGGAGTAGTTTATTATGTCTTTCTGTTTGAAGATAATAATCCTTATTTTCTTCTTAAAAGATACAAA